CCCTTTTCTTCCCCCCCCCCCCCCCCAAAAAAAAAAAGCTAATTTATAAAAATAATCTTAATTATTTCAAATTTGGTAATATTACCTCTTTACCCTTTATCAACCTTTCAAATTTATCGTTAAAATATAAATCTCCCGTAAAACATCGACATGAAAATAGCTTAGAACGACATTGTAGTGACTAATTCGCTTATTCAAATTAAGTTATTACTTCGACTTCCGTGCAACACTGTAACAATTTTCTACTTCAAGATTATACGCGAAACGTTTCTAAAAAGATAAAGGTAATTTGCAATTTTGGAAAGAGTAAGCGTTTTTTTCAAGCACGAAATTATTTATAATTTTCGAGAAAACGACGGAGAAGAATTAACAAAGTTGCTTATTTTTTACTCATTTAGAACTGAATTTGGTACTTACCAAAATATGTACTTAAAATAATATTACCAATAGTCGGTTTTTTTCTCATTTTGCGGGGGAATAATGTCGATTTTGGTAAGTGAATTTGTCGTGTTCGTATATTGAAGCATCAAATTTAAGTGTAAAGACAAGAGGTTGAAGGAAATGCTGAAATTGTTGCAACCGTTTGTTCTTTTTCGAATTTTGTGTATTTCATGTCTCATCCGTAGTAATTTAATTTAAGCTTGTTTAATCGTAGTTTATACGTATTCGGTGAAGATTAGTGGATATGTTTTGGGATTTGGTGCCTGATTACCCTTGCATGTCTTGTGACTCGAACACGCCATTGTTATTTAGTGTCACGAGTTTCTCTTGACATTTCTTTTTCTGGATTGAACGTTATCCCTTAAAATAATAGAATTCGTTTCAATATGCTTTATGCTTTTAATATATTTTGGAAAGTTGTTCGAGTAAGAATATTATTTTAAGTCATCAATTTTGTAATGTATATTTGTCGCAAGAGAAAAATACATCGGTTCGTTTATAATTAACCTTTAAAGTATTAAACTCTACCGGTGTATAATAGTAGAGCTGTGTTGAGTGGAAGGAATTTTTTTAACCAACCAAAAAGTTCGAGTTGGTTGGATTGATAACCCAACTCAACCTGAAATAGTGTAAGATCTCATATCGTTTGGGGAGAAGAACGAAACACCTTATATAAGCGTGTGAAAACCTTTCTCCACAAGATGTGTTCTAAAAACTTTGAGAGAAAGTTTGAAAGAAAAACTTCAAAGAGGACAATATCGGCTAGCGGTGGGCTAAACAATTACAAATTGTTTCCTATCCTATCCCTCTATTTTCGGGAGTAGATTTGGATTGAGTTGTTAAAATAAAGTTAATTTTTTAAAATATATATATATTTATCTACATGTTAAGATAAAAAATGTTAAAAGTTCACAAACAAATACAAATCAATTTAATCTGTAATGACCTAGACCCATTGCTAACACAAACAGATATTGTTATCTTTGGGCTTCTTTATTTTCGGGAGTAGATTTGAATTGAGTTGTTAAAATCAAGTTATTTTTTTTTATAAAAAATATATATATTTATCTACTATTTAATATAATGTTAAGATAAAAAATGTTAAAAGTTCACAAACAAACACAAATCAATTTATAATAATCTGTAATGACCTAGACCCACTGCTAACAAACAAATATTGTTCTCTTTGGGATTTCTTTTTCGAGCTTTCCCTCAAGGCTTTAAAACGCGTCTTCTCGTAGAAGGTTTTCACATCCTTGTAAAGGGTGTTCTGTTCTCCTTCCCAACCAATTTGGAACATCACATAATCATTTAAACAAACAAATTCTTTAATATAGTCACAAGTGAAAATTGTAACATTATAATAGAGTTAAATATTGACACTGAACTAAAAATAAATAAATACCGGCATTTCCTAGACAATTTGTTATTTAAAGTAAAAAAAAAATAAAAATAAAAATAAATATATATATATATATATATATATATATATAATCATCCATTTTAAAATTAAAAAACAATAATTAAACACTAAAAACTACTCTAAAAATATTTTATTATTAATAATATTATTTGTTAATTTTAGAATTATGCTTAGGTAGAGTAGTTTAGCTGTAGCTTTGATTCTAGCTTTATCAAAATAAATGCCTACCTGTCTTGAAAACGGTGCAACCCTTTAAAGATGAATCGCAGCCGTCCAAAATCACGAATCATATTAGAAGTCAATCTCAAGAACACGTGGACGGTGGTGGAATGAGTTCAGGTAAGGCGCGTGAAAGCATGTGGCGACCACCCAAAACCATGGGCCGGGTTAAACATTGAACCCGGTTTTGGGCATGGAAGGCAATTGAAACAATGCCATAACTCGCCCAACCTTTGCATAACAACGTATTGGTTGGTTCAATTTTGATGACATTGGAATGTATTTAATATATTTTAATCCAACAAATTTCAGAAAAGGAAGGAGTAGGAAGGGGAAAAGAAAAAAAAAAAAATAATAATTAGAACCGGTAAAAGTTAATAAAAATATGAATGTGAGTGAGTCTCACGTAATAATAAACGATTGAAGACATGATCATCAGCAATCTGCGAATGGTAAATTCACACCATATTTTAAAAACAATGAATTCAGTGTAATCACATGGAACCCATAATTTTAAATTTTTATCCGGTGAATAATTAGGATTTGACTCATTTAGTCAAGCCCTTGAGCGATCAGCCGAAAAGCCTATTTCGTTAAACCTTTAAAGGGCCAGTTATGAAACCTATTTAGCCAATCTCTCACGGAGTTGTCCTAGTTTGTTCGTTCACGCCCATAAGGTTGACTAAGGCTTTAACCAAATCCTCGGAAGTTAATCGGGAGACTCTTGAAGAACCTTAGAGCTAGACCAACCTTACAGATGAGAGAAAAAGTTAAGGGTTAGCTAGTAGTGAGCACATCCTTGACACTTCGTAAATGTTTATAATTTTAGAGTCTCATTAGCCCAACAAAATTTCTATAGAAGTTTGGAATACTCAAATATACTTTATGGAGTGTACGAGTATAAATTATGAATTATGACAGCATTCCAAGGTAAATAATTAATACTTACTTTCTACGGTCTAAGCTTTCTTATAAACTCGATTCTTAGTTTTAACTTGAGAGACACAAAATAAGTGACTTAATATCACACCTATGATCTTATAATCCAAATTTCAATATCAACAATTAACGTCATCTGTGAGGACGAGTCTTTGTCCTTTACCAAAGAACTGAACAACGTGAGCCACAACATCTAAGTGATTGAAGAGAATGAATCAGACAATGATTGAAATAGGAGATGGGTGTCCACTAGAGGACATGGTGTTTGGAATGTGGAGATCAATCAACAAGGGTGTAACGATCGTGTTTTCCTATTGAAATAGAGCCGCTATCATATGCATGGTGTGACCGTTTTCTGCAAAAACATTCATTTTAAACGGTTCATTATCGATACCATGGACTTACACATTAAAAATAAAATGCTTAAATCAATCCAAATATATATAAGAAACGAGAACATACAATATGTCCAAAAACTAATAAACAATATGAAATGTAACTATCCTAACACCAGTTCCATAGTCTTCACGGGTCGTCTCCATCAACCGTACATAGGTGTCTTGCCTTTACCTGAAATGTAAGAATAACATATGACTTGAGTATTTTAAGAAATACTCAATAAATGACTCAACTTTTGGGGTTGTGAAATGCAAACACACAACATGGTGGTACCTATCATTCAAAACATCATTTCATTCTCTTAAGTGACTTTTTCAGTTTGGGCTAAATTAGATGCATAGTACTTCTATACACATGACACACATGCGAACGTTGATCCACTAGGCGGGCTCACACACCCCTTGGGCCTGCTGGTCGGGCTAGTAATTGCTGACGGACTATTGCTAGGCATTCGAAGGGAATAAAGACCATTGTATCATCAAGGTGAACATGATGGTCATAATAAGTCTCATAGTGTATGCATTCATACTCACATAATGGAGAAGTATCGTAATGTACGTGAACACACAATTATGCATGAGGTCCCCTTACTTTCCATCATGGCATAATAAATGATGTTGGACAATCTCCATTCTTTCATAACATATTAAATTTGGTAATTATGCGTACATCATTCTTATACATCATTTCATACATAACATAGCTTCCAAGATATGACATACGAAGGTTATTCATCATAGATTTCCTTATTTCAAAACATATCATGGCATGTCATAGTATATCATAACATATCATAGCATATCATGACATGTCATAACATAACATGACATAGCTTATTGTTACATAACATGTCATTTCATTTATACCATAATATTATTTGGCATATCTTATAACCTAATATAATACAATATCACATATAAAAGCATATCACACATATGACACATGCAGGGGCCATTGGACATGTGTTATCATACATAAACAATTCTTCCAACCAATCTGACAGTTGAGCACTTACTTGGTTGGCCTAGGCTGAAGTTACTAATTATTTTTTGTACTAGCCTAAATATGTTTCTCGAGATCCAAATCAACTTCAGATCCATCTTCTTGATGATATCAATTAAAACAAAAAGATGGCAAATACCAGGCACCTTGTAGTCCAATTATTGAGGATAAAGAAATTGTGGACATATCTACTCTATCTCTCTTTTTTTAT